AATAAGTGTTATTTCTCTGATATAAATTTTTTTCTTAATATTTTATATTATTTATATTTTATATTATATTATATTTCCTCGCATTCAAACTATTCAGTTTTAGGTGGAATGAAAATATAAAACATTATATTTATACATTAATTATTCTATACATATAATGTATAATATCTTGTAGTAAATAAATCAGTGTTGGATATGTAACTGAGTGAAAGGAGAACCTATTTGATGTCTGATATTTTTGCAAAGTACTGTGTACATTTATGTTTTAAAATTTATGTAGGCATTAACATTTGTATTAATTTTATTATTAAAAAAAAAAAAAAGTTAAATATTTATGTTATCCTTATTTTTATAGGGCATATTTACTTTGCTGCTGAGCCTTTATGTACTTTTTCCATCACTATGTGCATGCAGTCAGATAGTTTTACAGCTCTGAGACCTTATGCACTTGTCTCTGTGCCCCCCTCCCACAGGCTGACATGGGAATGACCTACTCAGAGCTATCTGTGATTGGCAGACTCAGGAAGATCTCCAAGTGTGGCCCATACAGCATGTTTTGCAAGCTCATTCACTCATGGAAAGAGACCTTCTCTCCCTCACAGGTCAAACGTGCCCTAAACTTTACAGTACTCGTATTGCCTGTTACTTTTAAAAGCAGTAAATACTAATATTTGACCACCATTATTTTATGACCAGTAGGGTAACTTTGTCCCATGCTTTGTGCAAATGCCATTTTTTGGGGTTTTGCAGGTGGCTACTAAAGTGAAACATTTCTTTAGGATGTACTCAATCAACAGACATAAGATGACAACAGTAACACCCTCTTATCATGCTGAAAACTACAGTCCTGATGACAACCGCTTTGACCTCCGTCCTTTCCTTTACAACACACAGTGGCACTGGCAATTCCGCTGCATCGACAATGAGGTCAGCAGTTCTACAGAACAATGTGATTTCATTAGGCTGTATTATACAAGCTTTAATATTGAAACTTTACACAAATACTGTACATATATATATATATATATAGATAGATGTAAATGTTTGTCTGAAGATGTTTGTACGTAGTTTTTCTATTTGTATGAAATCCATTCTGTTTTTCTGTTGTATAGGTGGCTATGATGGAGTGATATGGAAGGTGTATGTACAACTGTTATCAGAAGCCATTGATCCTTGGTCCAAAAACACGGAATCAATCAACAATGAATCGGCTGGTTGCTGTGAGGTTTCCGCCTAAAATGTAAGCGACCTAATATTATTGTATTTGCTTATTGACCTGTTTATAAAACTATTAAACAGTTGTAATGGTGAAAACGTTGCGTGATGTTGCCTAACTAACTGTATTTTAAATATAAAAACTTTCCATTTTGAATTTTTACCTCAGGATACTGAGTTTCTTAATGTTGCGCGTTTTGATTTCTCCTGGAGAGGCAACCTTATAGCCTACTGTCAATAGATGCATTATATACAGTAGCTATATCCACTATTCGCCACTTACTCTAAATGTAATAAAATCAGAATAACACTTGCGTTTTAGTGTTTACATAGTTATTTTTGGTTACTGATGTTTTAAGCATGTTACTGGCGTTAGTGAAGCGTTAATGTCAAGCCCTGGAGTCTAGACGGCCCTGGCCGAAGATGTAAATGTTTGTTTGAAGATCATGTCTGTATGTAGTTTTTCTATTTGTATGAAATCCATTCTGTTTTATGTTGTATAGGTGGCTATGATGGAGTAATATGGAAGGTCTAAGCACAACTGTTATCAGAAGCCATTGATCCTTGGTGGCCACTGATGTGATATTAGACGCACAGCAGTTCTCTACACTCTCTCTGTGTAGATGCACATGCAAGGCAACTTGTTCCACTTATTAATATTCTTGTTTTTATTAGGATGTATAAATCCTAAACAATGTCTTCAGTTATGTATGTTCACATTATAATGCAAATAATCAGGTTTATGATTATTGATATACTGTATGGTAATGGCTGTTTGAAAATAAAACAATACATATGAAAATGTTCATATGCAGTTACTGTTAAAGAAGATGAAATCATCTTAGTGCCAGATATCCTGTATTGTAACTTCGACTTTCATAATCTTTCATTGAAGAATTTGTTAAGAAACAACCATGTTAGTCCAGATCAGCTCAAGTGTGTAGTGTAAATGACTCTATAACCAAACTAAATGACTGCAGCATTTTTATCAAGAACACAGTCATGCCAATGCAATAACAATGATTACTGGGTCATTCCTTGCAGTATCTCTTGAACTCTGTAATATAATAAATATTTCTACAAAAATGAATATGGCAGTTAAGGTTTCTAAATTGTAGCTTGATTATCTGCAAAGTCACAAGAAAACAGGAATGGATAGTTCACCCCAAAATGAAAATTCTGTCATCATTCACTCGCCCTCATGTTGTTCCAAACCTGTATGACTTTCTTTCTTCTGTGGAACACAAAAGACATATTTTTGTTTTAAAGAATGTTGGTAGCCAAACTGTTGGTTACCATTGACTTTCTTTTTATAGACATAGGTGTTCTTGAAAATATTTCTATTTTTTTACGACCACAGAAGAAAGAATGTCATGCAGGTTTGGAATTGCACGAGAATGAGTAAATGCTTTTAACTTGAGGGTAATTTTTGAAATTATAAAAATAATTAAAAAAATGCTTTCATGAGAAACAGAACGGAACGTTTTAAAGTGAGTCAAACCAACTAATGCAGAAAATCATCAATTTTTTTAAGCTTAATTCTTTGTTAATGCTACTGTTGTCAGTGTTATTGCAAAGCTGCTGGTTATGGTTTTCCTGCCAAACATGTCACTTCCTGGAGAATTATTTTGGAAGTGGCTTTTTGTTTAGATAATAGTTTCAAAAGACTAACAGGATAGAATGCGATGTTGAGGACAAATAGGCTATTAGATTACCAATTAAAAAATAAATAAATAAAAGTGCGATTTTCATATTTTATTCGATAAATGGCATACAATTATTTGGAAGAGATTTCCCAGCTAACAAAAAAAGGTCCCCAGGACGTCCCCTAAATGGCCTCTGCAAACGTCCCCCAGACGTCAGCGTGTAGGGTCCCCTTGAAGGCGAGCGGACGTTCGCGAAGACGTCCTCCGGACATTCAAGGGGACGTTCACAGGACGTGCAGCGGCCATTCGGGACGTTTAGGGGACTTTCGCTTTAAGTCCTCTGAATGTCATTTTGACATTTCGAAAGGTACTTGAACGCTGTCTCAAGGCAGAAAGCACGAGAGGGCGGATGTGGACGAGTTGGGTGTTAGAGAATTTACTTCCTCTTCGTATGTGTGAAACGGTCTGAACAGTGAACACACACACACACACACACACACACACACACACGTTGGTACAATATCATACAAGCGTGCGCACAGAAGTTTTATATAGGCCTACATATAAATGAGAAGAAAAGAGTTTATTTCAGGGAGATTCATTAATCTATTAGTTAACTGTTCTTATAACCCGTATTAAGAGTGTCGCCAGTAAATTCTCACGCTTGCTCAATCCGTTTGCAGCTCATGACGCAAATTAACTCTAAGTAAGGAAAATTTAGGACAAGCTGAACACTATAGGCTCATAATTCTCCACCACTCACCTAGATTAAAATTAACCGGTTACACTTTACTTGAAGGGGTGTGCATAAGACTGACATGACACCTACATAATCATGACATGACACCTCCATAATCATGACACGTGCGCACAGAAGTTTTATATAGGCCTACATATAAATGAGAAGAAAAGAGTTTATTTCAGGGAGATTCATTAATCTATTAGTTAACTGTTCTTATAACCCGTATTAAGAGTGTCGCCAGTAAATTCTCACGCTTGCTCAATCCGTTTGCAGCTCATGACGCAAATTAACTCTAAGTAAGGAAAATTTAGGACAAGCTGAACACTATAGGCTCATAATTCTCCACCACTCACCTAGATTAAAATTAACCGGTTACACTTTACTTGAAGGGGTGTGCATAAGACTGACATGACACCTACATAATCATGACATGACACCTACATAATCATGACATGACACGTCATGAATATGAAGGTTTTTTATGCATGTTTATGACAACTGTCATTAAGCGTCATTCGCTCAGTTATGTAATTTTTAATGCAAAGATGACATTGTTTGAGATGTCTTTGTTATGGGCTATGGTTAGGGGTAGGGTTAGGTTAGGGTTAGGTCAAATAATGTCATATTTGCATTAAAAATGACATAACTGAGCGAATGACACTTAATGACAGTTGTCATAAACATGCATAAAACCTCCTTCATATTCATGACATGTGTCATGTCATGATTATGAAGGTGTCATTTCAGTCTTATACACACCCCTTCAAGTAAAGTGTTACCAAATGACCCTACATTTAAAAACAAGGCGGGCCTTTATTTGAGCGACGGAATGCTAGATAACACCATAGCGCGCTTCTTTCGAATGAGTTATTTTTGAGTGATTCTTTTGAACCGTTTGCCTTTAAAAACCATAAACTTCGGCATGTGACGAAATCTGTATAATCTTTAAAAATATACGAAAACATTGTGGTAAACATCAGAATTTAACTAAAACGTATTTTGGCTGATTCTTGATGACGACTGAACGAGTGAATTTTTGGAGAACGAACTGGTTCATTGTAAAGAATCATTCGAACCGATTCACCGACATTAAACTTGCCTAGTGCTAGTGTCTCTGACATGAGTGAGCACTAGCAGAAAGTTTCAGAGTGAGTGAGTGAGTAGAGGATATGGGAGGAGTTGACGTCTCCTGAAAACACCTCGAGCACTGTTGCTCTCTCTGAAATGTTACTTACTGTAACCGACTCAGTGCGGTGGGAATGTTTACTAGCGAGACTGTCACTTTTACAAACATGAGCAGAAGACTCGTTTAGTTTTGTCCTTCGTCACTACCGATATCTTTAACGCCCTGTTTGGGATTTATTTGGAATATTTGGAGACGTGAAGCCATTGTCTAGATGGAAGAAGAGAAGCCGCTAGTGACTGGCAGCATTAACCGGGGCTCGGGTGATTATGGATCTCATGATAATGGTCAACTTGATCAACATGAAGAATCGCCAGGATCAAGACGACTATCCTATTCAGCTACTGACGACTCGTACCGTGTGCTCGAGGGTACGTATGCATTTAGTAATCAGACTGTCCTGAGACAAGTGTCCCGACTTACTTTTCCATAACCTTGTTCTGCGCTCTTGTAGTTTATTCTGTTTCGTTTTCCTCACTTTTATTTAATAAAAGTGTAAAAGCTTATCCTCCGTCTTTCTGGTGTCATATTCACCTCTACTTGGTTTCTGTCTTTGCTGTTAGACAAACACACCATTGTCTTCTTATTGGCTCTGCAGTTCATCTACTTTAAATAGTGATGTCCGGTTCGCGAACGAATCGTTCGATTTAACCGGTTCTTCTTAGTGAACATAAACCGTAATGGATTATACATAGTAAGTGGAGCATAGTTTCTGCGCTGATGAAGACTAATTTATTGACGTCATAACTGTAAAACATCCTAGTTTGCAGATCTCTGCCTGTATATGTGTTGATGCTTTAGATACAAAAATCCAAATTGTAAGAAACGTATCAGATTATAATGATGTTTTAATTGACTGATGTTATGATTACTGACTTTATATTTGAATGTGTTAAGCCCGCGATAGACTTAACGCCATTACATCATCGCCAATGACGTCATTATGTCGAGCGTAAAAGAACCGGTGAACCGGTTTTTTCAACCGGTTTATTGAATCGAACTGTCCGAAAGAACCGGTTCGCGGAAAAGAACCGAACTTCCCATCACTAACTTTAACTTCACAGCCTATGTTGTTACTGCTTTCTTGCATGATGTACCAAATTACAAGTGGAGATAGTTAGACATACCGAAAATGTATTTTTATTGTTTAAAGTTAATTTAATACTTGCCAAATAATATGTTTCACAATTTTAGCAGAAACTTGGGGCAACTAAAGGTGTTTTGGGTGGATGTGTGAAAATCTTGTCCATACTTGTTATAAAAATACAAAATTCAAACATTATGTCAAGGTAATCTGAATATTAAGCGGACAAGTTTATGTTTTAGTCTGTGATTTTGGCATATTTAGAAAAAGGTTTTATTTGGTAACATTAGTTAGCTAAATTAGTTATCATTAACTAACAGTTAGCAGTACTTCTACAGCATTTATTCATCTTAGTTCATTATAATCTCAACATTTATGAAAAAATTTTTAAGATCAAAAGTTGTATCTGTTAACAACAAACATGAACATTGACTTTTTTAAATTAGCATCAATAAAGGTTAATAAATGCTATGAAAATATATTGCTGTTAGTATATACAGGTGCATCTCAATAAATTAGAATGTCGTGGAAAAGTTCATTTATTTCAGTAATTCAACTCAAATTGTGAAACTCGTGTATTAAATAAATTGAATGCACACAGACTGAAGTAGTTTAAGTAATCAATTCCAATGGACAACATCAAGTCTCACTCCTACATTTTTTGTCATTCAAGAAGCCTCTTTACTTGGATATATGTCACAGTAAGGAAGAAAAGGTCATTTTTCCTTTAATATTCTAACTCATCCTACCTCATCTTCCTATACCTAGTGGAAATATGTTAACACCGAAAAGAAAACTAAAATTCCAAAGCCATTTCATATAGTTCTTTAAGCTTTAGTCGCAGAATCTTGTTGTTGGATTGGATCAGACATGTTGTCAGTTATCACAGAAAGGTTAGACTTGTCTCTTAATTTGTAAAATCAAATACAATTCACATTCTAGAGGGTTTACAAGCAGAAGTATTCCTTTAATTTTTGTTACAGTACTTGTATTCATTTTTCCTTACAAAAACATTAGTTTTTGGAGCTGTTAAGTTGTCCATGTCATCCTTGTGTGGTGTGATTACTGTTCTAGGCAGAAGAACTGCTACAGTAATTATGCATTACCAGAATAGTTCCTGTGGTTGAAATGTAAACAGTATTTACATCATGTCCCTTTCTGGTATCCTTGCAGGGTTAGAAATTAAAACCCGCCAAATGTGGGTGAAAATCACCCATGCTGGGTATAACACATATCAACACTCTAGTCAATTTGGTGGGATGTGATTTATAAATTTATCATTTTACATTCCATCATTATCAGAGCCCTTCCCATAAAAGCAGCCTCCAACATTACCAAAACAAAGTGAAAAGAGGGTTGCACATTGGACGAGACAAACATCCTGTCATGACACAGTGAGCCACTCACATAGTTTCCCATGGAATTACATTAACAACAGTTTGGGAGAAATATATGTACATACTGATTTCACCCTAGTCTGGTAGATGTATTGTGCATTTTTCAGTAATAAGTATGTTTTTTTTTTTGGGCTTGAGTAATGTCTTCATATAGAGAATTATATCAGAGCAAACTGTTTCTTTCCATTAGCCTTTTGTGTGACCAGTTTACTGTCTTACGGAGCACTTGGAGACATGAGGCCACTTTTTCAACCCGCTCTCACTTCCTAGGGGTCCGATAAATGCCACATGTCCAAGACTTTTGTGTGTCATAATATAAACACCAAAGCTTGTTTTTTTGCAATGCGCCGTAAGGGTTTAATTAAAAAAAAACATTTGTCATCAATATACTGATAAGAATTTTACATTCATTAAATCATTTACAGACGCCTTGGGAGTGAAAACAGGTTGGCATTTTTTTTATGGAGATCAGTGGAAGAAAGGCTTTGATTCTCAGTACGCTGACTTTTGTGAAGAAGCATTTTATCAATTTTTGAAATGACACCCTGTCCGCTAATCTTCAGTGTGTTTAACATTAAACATTGATTTTGGAGTAAGCTTTATTTGGAAATTAAATGCTGTCACAGAGATTTTGATAATCCAGTTTATGTGCAATATATTTGTTTTGGTTATTAGAAGTTCTAAATGGCCAATAACTTAATTTGCCTAGTGAGTGAAAAAGTTCATTTAAAACCCTGTGTATGTGTGTGTGTATCATGCAGAAGTTACTGTGTTTACTGACTTTATGTGGTCATGACAAGACACACGTCACATGTATTGTGACAGTTATTTTCTTGACAGCATGACACATATTGTATTGCATTGGACAGACAACATTCCTGTAATTATATTGACCTATAGCCTTTAGATGCTTATGTGGTATGTTTCTCTCTGTCAATATCAGATTTGTTATTGGATCTGCTTTCCCACACTCTCTTTCTTGAAGGGGTCTGGGGTTCACTATTGCTGTTGTACTGGCCCTAGCCTTCATTGAGACACCCTCCTCTCTGACCTACACCTCGGACATTCGTTTCAAACCCAAGCCCTGGGAGCCACCCTGTGGACTGACGGAGGGGATTGAGGTGGTCTGCCTTTGTATCTTCATCCTAGATTTCACTGTGAAGGTAGGAATCTAAAAATATATTCAGTTGACTGTTGGGATAGCATTCAATGGATAGTTCACCCAAAATTACTGTCATTATTTGTCATTCAAACCTGTATGACTTTCTTTCTTTCTTTTGTGGAATACAATGTCCAAGCTGCTCTTTTCCATTTTTGGTGAACTATCCCTTTAACAGTTAAACTGACCTATCTGACCATTTGTTTTGTAATGTTTAGGTGGCTAAAATATTAAGGAACATATTTATATTGTTTGTTTTGCAGAGTTATCTGATAGGATGGGAGGAGTTTCGTATGAACAAATGGCTGATTGGTTATATAGTAGTGATTACAGCATCAGTTATTGATTGGATGTTGAGTGTTAGCATGGCGTGCAATGAGGTGAGTTCATGAAAACTATTACAGAGCTGCTTATTTATTGTGCCTCTTTACACTATAACATAACTATCACATAACAATATTTACACTAAAAAATGGTGTGTAACATTTTAACTGAGAAATTGTTAGTAAATTTCACAAATAATTACAAAGAAATGGCAAGTAATGCATTAAATTAAACTGAAGATTGAAATAGTATTAAGTTAAATGTGACAATAAAGCAATAAATTAATAAACCATTCTTCAATATGACATAAATATACCTCTTTATGTAGTTTCTTGAATTTATATATCGAAAGTCCCCACATGTGATCTGCCCAACACTATTGTCAAAATAAAATGTTCTTATAATGCATAAAACGGCAAGTAAAATTTTATTATGAATAAAGTGCAGTTAAATTTTTTAGCTAAAAATGTTTTCGTTTAACTACATTTTAAACATGATAAAACATTTTTTTTATATATATATACAGTATATATATATATGTATATGTCAACCTGTTGTTATTTTTATTTTTGAATCGATACATTGATAATTGATTTCTTTATTTTATTTTTAATGAGCACTTACAGTCCTTCATACACTTAAAGGTATAGTTAACCCATATATGAAAGCTCATAATTTACTTGCCCTCATTTGAAGAACAGACCAAAATTTAAGTTGTATTTTAAATCTTGGCCTCCGTTGTCACTCGAATCTCATTTGCATAAGCACATCAAATATGACCTGAGGGAAATGAAATGTTCATTTTTGGACAGTCTATTCCTTCATAATCTTAAATAAGTAAATACTGAGCATGTCTCAGTCAGCTGTCAGCTTCAGGTCCGTTGATTGTAACGTTGCCCTGTCATTCTGTCCCACAGAATTTAAGAGTCAGGAGACTAATTCGACCATTTTTCCTCTTGCAAAACTCCTCCCTGATGAAGAAAACTCTAAAATGTATCAAAAAGACTCTTCCAGAAATAGCAAGGTAATAACAGAATCTCTGTGAAAAAGTTTTTTTTCCCTTAACAGTCTGCATTTAATTCCTTATTTTCACTTCTCAATGTGTGTGCAGTTCCATTCTAATATTATAATTTAAAAATTATGACAATAAACATTGACCAGAAGTGTTCTCTCTGTTTTTCTCTTTTTCTGTTTCAGTGTTATCCTGCTTTTGGCATTACACCTCTGCTTATTCACCATGATTGGAATGCTGATCTTTTCCAAATCAGATGTAAGAAGTGATCACATCTCTATCATATAATTTCTATCAGTGCTTATATGGGCCCACTTTTTGATTTAAACAAACCCCTATCCCCAGATACTACATTTTGCCACAAAACTCATCCCTAGAATTTGTGCATTGGACATGAATGATACCTCAGTGCAGTTTGCTGTTAATTTTCTAAGCAATTAGACTGAAGATATTCACTGGGCAGACAATAAAATGGTCAAAAAACTTCTAAAGACTTGTGTTAAAGGTGGAACCTGAGTCATATCTAGAGATCCACAACACTCTGGCATGCTGGCAACGATTTTTGCATGGGCAAGCAACACTTACATTTTCTTCAAAAAAAGTACAAATATAGTAATCAAGGTTTGTGTGGGTCTTTAAAAGTCTTAATTTGCCACAATTTAAGGCCTTAGAAAGTCTTAAATAAGAGCAGAAAGTCTAAAATTTATCAAGTCAATGGCATTAAATGTTACATGCATTGCAAAAGTGAATATCTTCCTCCGTATATTTGTTTTCCAATACAAATATCTAAATATCCTCAAATCAAGATTGAAAAATGTAACAAAATTGAGTGAGTTTATGCTTAAAACCAGAACAAATATCAGTGGGGTATGAAAACTTGTTTTCCCTTTGAATTAACTAGATTTTTTTCTGAGCCCTTTGGCAGATATTGTTCATGTTTTAATCAAACTCACTTCATTTAGATCAATTTCAGGCTTCTTATGTCATTTTGCTCCTCTAGTAAATGTATCTCGACTTAAGAGTTTTTAGACATTTTACACAAAATTACTTTGGAAGAAAATCATTTCAAATCAATTTGAAGTGTGATCAGAAGGTAAAGTAAAAGCTTTTTTTCTCCATATACTAGTGGTTGGAAGGAGAGCTATTCAAGCCACAAGTTTGTGTGTGTGTGTGTAAAAAAATGTTACTAATACAACTCATTGTGTGCTCTCTAGACATTTACATTAAGAAAGCATATTGACTTATTGTCTTCTCTTTAGTTTGTTCCTTAAATTTTCTTTATTTGTTCTTAAAATGGTCTTAAATAGTCTTAAATTTACCATCATAAAACCTGCAGAAACCCTTAGTAATGTACTAAGGGCCAGATTTACTAAACAAGACAAATTAGTGCGAGAGCGCAGTTCCAAAATATTTCACTAAAGATGGGAGTGGAAAGTTCTGCATGTGATTTACTGACAATGCGTAAATTAAAGAACACAGATGCAACATCTCATTTCTATAATAACCAATGCAATTTTCCAAGATCAGCACATATTAGCGTAAGGTTGCAAACAAGCAGAGCAAATTAAAAATAACGTGGCTTAGCATGCAATATGTTCTGATAATGCCTTCCTCTGGCATTCCAAATAAATTAATATGAGTGGAAAAAATTCTTTACTTTTTACCATGTGCAATCACAGCCATGTCAAGCGCAAAATAGGTTAAGAATTGCTACAGTTGACTGAATAGATGTGTTTCTGTAGGACCCTAAGAAGAATGGAGAATGGGAAACCTACTTCAAAAACCTGCCAAAGTCCCTGTCTTCTCTGCTAGTGCTGCTAACAACAGCCAATAACCCTGACGGTACGTCTTCATTTGACTGTTAATGTTGTTAAAGTCTCTCATGAGGTGCAAATCTCTGAATGACTCAGTAAAGTTTTAAATGGTCAGTGACACAGATGACATTTTGGCACTGCTGTGTCGAATTCTCAGTCATCTCTGGCTCATTGCAGTAGAGGGTATGAGTCATTAGCATTAACCACATGACATGTTTTGTGACTTGTCACAACGTTCTGTTAAACTTTCACAGGTATCTGTATTTGTTTCAAATGTGAAACGTCCTACAATGGCCTACAACGTATCTTGTAGTCTGTGTTTCTTTACAACATGTCTTCCTCTCTCAACAGTCATGATTCCAGCATACTCTCTGAACCGTGGCTATTCTATATTTTTTATACTCTTTAGTGTGTTTGGTAAGTTTTTATGGCAGATCAGATCAGTCACACACACACACACACACACACACACACACACACACACATATATATATATATATATATATATATATATATACATATACATACACACACATACATGCATACATACACTACTGGTCAAAACTTTGGAATAATATAAGATTTTGTTAATATTTCAGAAAGAAGTCTCTGAAAACTAAACTTTTCTATTACAGGAATAAATTGCATCAAATTTGCATTAAGTTTACATGTATTTAAAAAATGTTTACTGTATTTTTTATCAGCTTTGGTGAGCATAAGAGCCTTCTTTTCAAAAAACTTTTGACTCGTAGTGTATATTTACACACACTGCAGTTAATATTATTTGCATTCAAAACTTTCAACCTGCATTAAACACTTTACTTTTTTTTTTTTCCCCTTTCTGTCAGGAACGTATTTGTTAATGAATCTAATGACGGCTATTATTTATAACCAGTTCAGGGGATATTTACTGGTGAGTGAAAGTGACTTACATTAGATATTGTTTTAGGAATTTGGTGCTTGTTTGCCAAAGGAATAGTTCAGCAATCTATATTCTGCTATTATTTCCAAACTCATATGTGACCCTGGACCACAAAACCAGTCTTAAGCCGCTGGGGTATATTTGTAGCAATAGCCAAAAATACATTGTATGGGTCAAATTTTTTATTTTTTTTTATGCCAAAAATCAGTAGGACATTAAGTAAAGATCATGTTCCATGAAGATATTTTGTAAATTTCCTACTGTAAATATATCAAAACTTAATTTTTGATTAGTAATATACATTGCTAAGAACTTCGTTTGGACAATTTTAAAGGCGATTTCTCAATATTTTGATTTTTTGCACCCTCAGATTCCAGATTTTCAAATAGTTGTATCTTGGCCAAATATTGTTCTATCATAACAAACCATACATCAATGGAAAGCTTATTTATTCAGCTTTCATATGATGTATAAATCTCAATTTCAAAAAATTGACCCTTATGACCCTTTTTTTTCTCCATGGAGCACAGAATGTCTTTTATAATTTCCAAGCATCTCTTTTCCATACAACAAAACTGACCAGAGGCCATCAAGCTCCAAAAAGAACAAAAAAAGGACAATTAAGGTTTTCTGTATGACTACATATGATGCACTGTTTTTCAAGTCTTCTTAAGACATACCATATTTTTTATTGTATGGAAAAGTGTCGCGTTACCATTCTTCAAAAATTCCTCATGTGTTTTGTGAAGTTATACATGTTTGTGACAAAATAAGGGTCAGTAAATGGTGATTTTAGGTAAACTGTTCCTGTAATTATTGAAGTTATCATCTGTGTGTTTAGATGTCGGTTCAGACGTCTATAATCAGGAGGCGTCTGGGTATTCGGGCTGCTTTCGAGGTGCTGTGCTGTCCAGGCCGAGGGCACACTAGCACTCAGTCTGAAGGCCATGTGTAAGATCCAGTCCTCTCCAACATTGTAGTCTTTCTTCCTTATAGCAAGTATTCACTCTTATTCACGACTCTGATGTGGTGTTTTATGCCTTGTCACATGACTTTTCCTGTTGCTGCTCAGGGAGCGAGTGGCGGTGAACATGTTTCTTCAGGTCATGGATAGAGTCCACATGAAGTCTTACTGCAGACAGGCTATCATTAAGGTCAATACAGATTGCAGAATAGTTTCTTAAAGTAAAACGTGTGTGCCATGGTTGATTGTTCGACCTGTCTTTTGTTTCCTCCAGGCTGCTCAGCAGTTCCCAGATGGCTTCATTAATGGCGAGGCCTTCCAGAGGCTTTTTAATGAGCTGGATAAGGATTTTATGAAAGAGGTTTGATCGTCTACATTTGTGGATCAGTTTACATTACAGTCTGAATTCAGGAAGTCACTCTTTTTGAACAATTTGTAGAAGTCAGATAAAATAGTATTAGAATTATTAGGATATGCTGCATAGCAGCAGGGTTGGGCAAGTTGAGAATTGGTTCTCTTGTATTTTATGAGTTAGAATTTGAATCAGAATGACACAAAGAGAATTAGCTGTATGGCAATTCACAGAAACTCAACACAGTCACAAAATGAGGAACTTAAAGGGTTAGTTCACCCAAAAATGAAAATTCTGTCATTATCGTCGCCATACGCTCGCATCATGATACTGTCGTGAACGCGCGTCCAATGTGACACAGTAGAGACGAAAATGTGGAATAAAGTAGTTATTTTTTGTTTTCTTTGCACAAAAAAGTATTCTCGTAGCTTCGTAACTTTCCAGTTGAACCACTGATGTCACACGGACTACTTTTGTCGATCATCTTGGTACTTTTCTGGACCTTGAACGTGGTAGTTACCTTGCTGTCTATGGGAGGGTCAGAGAGCCCTCAGATTTAATCAAAAATATCTTAAATTGTGTTCCGAAGATGAACGAAGGTCTTATGGGTTTCGAACAAAACGAGGGCGAGTAATTAATGACAGGTTTTTCATTTTTGGGTGAACTAACCCTTTAATTAGTCCAATACAACAACAAAACAGGCAAGAATAGATAACTGTTTAAAGTTTGCATCTTGTAAGTTTGCTTCATTTTGTTTAGCTCCTTTTAAATAAATACAATTAATAGAGCATTCTTGAAAATAATGTGTTCTTCAACCATGGTCCAAACAAATTAGTTAAATTATTATAGTAAATAAAATAATGTATAATAATACATAATATGATAAATTAATAAATTATTATTAAATTGATTTATTATTGAATATAATGTGTATAATTAAATTAATATAAATTGTGTAGAAAATTCTTTTGTAAACATTGAATATTAATACCATATTATTTTTCAGGAAATGCCCCATGTTATGTGTTTCATCATGTTAATTGGTGATTAATCTTGAAAATGGAGTGTAATATTAAACTACACTTACAGCAGACTTTCTTTGATTTTCATTTACATTTGATTTTACTTCCTTAGGTTCAAATTTAAGGAGTTGAACTGGAATTTTAAGTCACTTTCAATTTAATTCTGAATTTATCTTTGGTGTCAACAGATGCATTGACTGTTCTGTTTTTGTCTTTTCCCTGAAGCATCCACCAAAACCAGAGTACAGTTCTCCTGTCCTACAGCTTATCCAGTGTATCTACAGTCACTTTTATATTACTGTACTGGGGAACGTTGTTGCTCTGGCTAATGTCATCTGTATCTGTGTAAGAAACCTTATTTCCTTTGACTTGCTTTTATTATCACATACATCACCCTACATGAAGAACATTGCATACATTTCCAGAATTCAGTAGATTAAAACAGGGTTTTCCAAATTGGTTGTTCACCACCTAGTGGTTCATGATGGAGCTGCAAGGGGCTCTTGAGATAGAAATGCCAAATTAAATGGAATTGAATTGAAATACATACGTTTTAATATTAAATAATCAAGTGTTACACTTAACTCTTACACAAACAAGTCATTAAATGTAAATTTAAATTTAAACACTGACCACAGATTATACTTTATACAAATCAGTGAAATCCACAAATGTAAAAGTGCTCATACCATAAAAACTTACAATTCATATAATTAAAAATTAGTTTAATAATTGTATTATTTGAAAAAAAATAGAGCATTATTTGAAATCAAATCAGAAAATTATTTGAATAATTTAGTTCACAAAAATAGATCGCAAAGTCTATGTTGAGCGCATGTTTCTAGTTTTATTGCGAAATGGTGCCATCTTGTGGATAGCATATGCAAAAAACAAACCGTGTACTGAGTAGTTGTTTCGAATCTTTGAATCTTGAAGTTCACCTTTGATATTTGTTATTGTTTTTCTGCAGACTATCTTGGTTCTGAATTCAGAGAAATCTGCCTCAGAGAAAAATAACTTCTATATGGAGGTGACCGTTTCATGCACTGAAAAAAAATTATGTTGCTGTAATAATATAATTTCATATAGAAATATTAGTGGTTGGTTTGTTTGTAAAACTAAATTGTGTTCAATCCTTTGGCTGGATTTTAAAAATGCCCTGGTGTTTTTTCAGCAATAGTTGATATAGGTGTTTTCTGAATTTTGAGTGGTTCTATAAATATTAATGTAAATATATTTTCTGTCTTTTAGATCCTCAACTGTATTTTCATCCTGTACTATTTAATAGAGATGCTGCTGAAAATAGTGGCTTTTGGTTGGAGAGGTTACCTGTCTTACAGGAATAACATTTTTGATGGATTCCTCACTGTTCTTCTTCTGGTAACATTTCCTGTCTTTTTTTTTTGTAATTTAATGCTATTTAAAATGATCATAAGGAATTCTGCAGCATGCATAGTTGTTTAGGTGGTGAAGGCAATAATTGGAGATGCATTGTGTTTTTCTTTTATTCTCAACAGGCAATTCAGATTGCCATATTCATCACGTACAGGATTCCATATGAGGACGTGTGAGTGTACTCAATTTGAAGATCAAATCACCTGATCTCTTCTCCAAATGCTTCAATGTGATGTTTTACTCTTATCTTAACAGGGATCTGGTTCCACGACATGTGATGGCTTTGTGGGAGATGGTGCGACTGGTCAACATGTTGATTGTTTTCCGTTTCCTCAGGATAATTCCAGAAATCAAGGTTGGTGATGGGCTCCTCACATTAATCACCACATTAATCTCCTAAATGCACACAAGGTGCAATGATACTACAGCTGTGCTAAACATACCGGCACCATTGGAATTTTTTTTTTTTTTTTCAAATTGTTTCTTGCAGGTCACCATTAAAATTGAAAGGTTTGCAGTGCACCAAAATAAAAAAAGATTGCAAAATGCAAAATAAACTTTTTAGCCACCAAAAAATATAAATGGCCTGGACAATTTTGGCACCATTTATTTAAAATATGGTCCGATTTAAAATTACTCTCTGATTTAAAATTACTTCTTCCAACTGTTGTTTTCAGCTCTCTTCATGGCATTTAGGGGTATTTTGATCTGGACTCATTGCTTGCCACTTCAGAACAGTGCAGTATTTTAATTCCAACCAATAATTATCCTCCTGGAAGGCCCATGACTTTCAACAGACACACAGCATAATTGGTCAGATAGATCGGTAGATAGATAGATAGATAGATAGATAGATTTCCATTCTGAGTTTTTTTTCTTCAGGCCTTTGTCTCTTACTGGTTTGCTTTTCTTGCTTTTTTGGTGCTAATAACTTGCTGACTGTACGTTATTTCTTACATATTTAAAAACAATTCACTGGAGCCAGTATTTTTTCACATAATTGGCATAATTGGTCATACCGTAAAGAGCACTAATACATGCTTAAAGTCTTTTTTTTTGTGTGCACCCTTTAGTTGATGGCCGTGGTGGCCAGCACTCTTGTGGACCTGGTGAAAAACTTGCGGGCATTTGCTGGCATTCTATTGGTGAGTGAACAGACTCCGTTTACTAGCAGTTTTATCATTGATAATGAGGTTGGTCTCTCTTCACTTGTACATTTCTCTGATGCAGGTGGTGTACTATGTGTTTGCAGTTCTTGGTACCTGGCTTTTCCAGGGAGCTATAACCCCTCCATCAAACATGAGGTACTGTTCATCAACTGCACATTTAACAGGAAACATAAAAATACAGTAAAAACTATTGTGAGATAATCTTACAATTTAAAAAGAACTGTTTTCTTTTTTAATGTAATTTTAAAATGTAATGTATTCCAGTGATTCCATTACTGTAGTCTTCAGTGTCACATTATCCTTCAGAAATCAAATCATTATTATCATATATGCTCAAGAAACATTTCTTATTATTTCCATAGTTTTTAGAGCCTCTTCTCTCTATATATGCTCTCCTTTCAGTCTAATATCCGACTCCAGCACAGAGAACAAAACGGGGGGTCCCTTCAGCATGGATTGTGGCACTTTTGAACAGCTGGAGTACTGGCCAAACAACTTTGATGATTTTGCTGTAAGTTGCACAGAGGTCTCTGGGAACTTGGTTTTTAACAAGTTCCCAGAATGCTATAATAAGCACGTATGAGGAATAAGTAGTCAGTGGATTTGACCAAATTTGCTAGGTTTATAGTATTACATTGTGTTTTCAGATTTGTTTTTATTTCAATACTATTTTCACATTTGAAAGTGACAATTGAAATTTTATTCACGACTATATTTCTGTTTTGTTTTTATATATTTTAAGTTTAGGCCAACATAAAATGAAGGAAAACTGTTTTTTGATCTCACAAATAAATGTAACTGTCATATTTTTCCAGTCCTCTCTGGTTCTGCTCTATAACATCATGGTGGTGAATAACTGGCACGTTTTCACGGACGCATACACCAGATACACTACGGAGTAAGCTAGACACCCTACACACACACACACACCCTGTGTCTGTCTTTAACACTTTTGCTTTAACTGAACAGAGTTTTGTCAATTTGTACCCATAATTCTTCCATGTCAGGTGGTCCTTGGTGTATTTTGTGGCCTGGTGGTTGACATCTTCAGTCATGTGGGTCAACCTATTTGTGGCACTCATTTTGGAGGTATGTATATTGTTTGGTGAAAATAACTCAAAACTGACCATATTTACATTATTAATACACATTCCTAGTCTTAATGTGAATTACACAGTGCACATTATTCCAAAAGGAAAAAAAAAATGTACTCCTATTTTTATGACAGAAATCTGATCTGAACAAATTATCAATAGCATGATTTTTTCCCCCCAAACCAGTAAAGCACATACCCTGCCCCACAGCTGATTGTAAAGATTTCATTGGTCACAGTGCTGATTGCCTATACAACACTGAAACCAATACTAACCCCTAACCTTAATTACAGTAGTAGCACATCCTGTTAGTTAGCATTACTGTTTGTCATGATCAGATCATGAACTGAATCAATAAATTCGGACCTTTTCTTGATAGAGCAGTAAATTTGTTTCTAAGCATGCTAGTTAACCCTGTTTTTTTTTCTTCTTCTCTCCTTTGTTCAGAACTTCACCTATAAGTGGGACCGCAGTAACGCTCTCTCTGTTGAGGATGTGGAGAGAATTGCCTATCAAAGCACTGTACAGCTTATTTTCAGGTATGTTTTACTGGCCGTTAGTTCTAAAAATAGCAAAAATTTCCACTTTAAAATGAATCGGTGAGAATCAATAGAATTGGACCAATAGAACCGTTTCAGATTTGATTGTTAAATATTTTGTGAACACCATCAAGTTGTCAGTCCTGTCAGAATGTTTGTCTGACAGTGGTGATAATTAGGGATGCACCGATACCACTTTTTCCAGTACTCGCCCAATACCGATACTTTTATTTTTGGTACTTGCCGATACCAATATTTTTATTGCATTTGTAAATTTTTAAAATATTGGGTACAGAAACCAAAATAGTATGTATAATGTTAGTTGGTTAACTTCATTTATCAAATAGATTCAGTCAAACCTAAATTTATTCAGACACCTTCAACATTACTCACATTATCACAGTTTACAGTTGGTAGTCCACTGTATGAAGAAATTTTGTGTATAATTTGTCACAGTTTACTTTATTTTGCTATCCTCATTTACATAAATGAACTATAGTGTCCTGCACCCACTAGTCAAAAAAATATAAAAAATGATATCTGGTCTCTGAATAATTTTTGGCTTGACTGTATATCCTTTGGTTATTTTCACACTTAATTATGCCCATTAAAATGTATTTTACAACAAAGATCACACAACAGAAGTGCGCGCGCTCTCTCTCTCTCTCTCTCTCTCTCTCTCTCCCTACCGTTAAGTAACTTGTGCATTTTTTTACTTACTTGTTTTTGACGTATCCGACCAAACTACAAGCTTTCCATTGATGTCTGTGAGAAAGGTATATTCATTCGACAAGCTCGCGCATCTGCGCCGCCGCGCGCTCAATCCACTCAGCGTGCTTTGCTTGATCGTGCAGCCCTAGTCAATACTGAATGTTTAACATTATATTCGTTGCATACATATACTTCGTAGACATCCTTAATCTCTAATAACTCCATTCTGCTGTCTGTTGTTCTGTTGTCAGTGTTTCTTTGTTTGAATATGGCACTTATCACATGCTGTGTGGTATCGGCGTTTGGTATCGGGGCAATTTAATGAGTACGAGTACGAGTACAGGAGCTCAGTATCGGGCCCGATACTGCATCCCTAATGATAATTCAAGAGATGGAGCTGAAAACAAATTTGAAATGAAGTGAATTGAAGTGAATGCTTGTTTTGTCAATACAAATACACAGTACACTTTCTTTTTGAATCTCACAGTGTTGATCTGTATTGAGTTATATGGAAGGAAAAACTATTTTTGTAGACAAAATGGAAGAATGAATGAATGGTAATGGAATGAATACATGTTAAACTAATTATTACAAAACACTTGGTATTTAAGCATTTATTTCTGCAGTCCTATAGCCTGTCAGTGATTTATAGTTTTATTTTGAATGTAATGTGATGTCTTGTATAGTGGTCGACCGATATATCGCCAAGGCCGATATATCGGCCGATATCTGCCATTTTTCAAATATCGGCATTGGCCAATAAGTTTTTCTGTTTGGCCCTATGGTCCGTGCGAATTGAATACGGACAGGAGGAGAGTTCAGCTTCACTGGAGACGCGCTATCGACAAACTCGTGACTGATTTCAAATTATGCTGCGCTTTATACATTTGCCCACTGTCATATTCATGTCATTTTCACTGTGTTTTGTATGTAAAATGAGTGTTACCTTGGCTTTATTTGAAAAAATATGATTCCCAATGCACATAAACTTCCCAGAATACTGAGTGCCCTGTTGGTTAGAGTGTTTACTGTTGGTTAAGTATGTTTATTTTACACGTTTATTTTTTAATCCATTTTCAAATGATTTCAAATTTCTTAAATATGAATTAAAATCAATAAAATTATATCGGCTTTATATTGGCCATCGGCCACCCTGCTTTCCAAGATATCGGCATCGGTATCGGCTGTCAAAAAACCCATATCAGTCGACCACTAGTCTTGTATGTGATATTATGGGAACAAGCGAGTATACCTTAGCTCCAATACTTGACAGAATTTGCCTGAGGCTCCTCTGCTCAGTATTTCAGGCTGCGTTCTGCTCTTTCCTCACAGCTTTCCCTCACATTCCTCTCTGATTAAGGAAGGGTAATGATTTAAGTTTATCCTGCTGTTTATCACTCCTCACGATCGACTACAAATCTTAATTTCCTAATATATAGTATTTCTGCAATACATTTATTTATTTCTGTCATTTTGCTGGATCAACATCCTTTGTTGGTCCTGGAACAACATTCCTATCCAACAATCATGTGCCAAACTAGGGGTGACCGATATGGCAAAAATATAATATCCAGGATATCTGCTGAATTTATCTATCTGCCAGATTTAACACTGTATAAGAACTGCACATAATAATAATAATAATAATGTCTATACAGAACAAACCCATATAATCTCAAAATAAATCATAAATTTCAGATTATTTTACCTAATTCAATAGGTTGCAGTACACATGCAATGACTTAGATTTGCAGTTACCCTGTTTTGCTAATATTAAATTGGTTTATGTACCAGTACATAAATAGATATGAATTGGAGGTCAATATGGGATTTTACTGATATGATGATAATGTTTTTAATAGAGCCAAAAAAAAAAGATTGTGCTGAAACTAGTAAAATTATTTATATTGATAGATTAAATAATGTTATTAGTCTTTCCTTCCTGTGGCTGGGTGGCCCAGAGTGAACTTTATGCATTACGCAGTACTTTTAATTGTAAACAAGCCCTACATGACTTTTATTTTGAAATGACTACAATTTACTGAAATGAAATGAAAATGAAAAATTCTGTCATCATTTACTTGCTGTACTCTCAAGTTGTTCCAAACCTGTACATGTTTCTTCCTGTTTCTTTTCTATTGAACACACACACACACACACACACAAAGATATTTTAAAGAATGCTGATAACCAAACAGTTGACGGTATCCACTGACTTTCATAGTATGGAAAAAAATAAATAAATACTATGGCTACCGTCAACTGATTGATTATCAACATTCTGCAAAATATCAAGAAGAAATTAACCCTTACAGACTTAGAACAAGTGGAAAGTGAGTAAATGATGAGAGAGAAATTATAGTTTGGTTTAAATATCAGATTTTTTTTCTGTTCTTTTGCCCATCCTCCGTCTTCAGAGAGCACGTCCAAGAGCCGACAGAAGAAGAGTTACTAGCTCAACTACAACAACATCCTCATCTGCACCTCTCCTGGTGACCCTAAACTCATCCCCCCTCACCTCCACCTCACGGGACGTCTTTAATACATAATTACACCAAAACACCCAGAATCCTTCAGGACTCCATCACGTCTGTGTAGGCCTTATGTTTACATATCCATCCATTTTGGAGGGCCTGTTTCCCATTATAGGATCTGTGTTGCTTCAGGTCGGCCTGGGAAGGGATGTATGTGTTTTTAACAGAGCGTCACACTGTTTGGAGGAACTTCAATTTATAAAGAGGCTTTAGCTCAAGTCACTCCTGCTGCTGAAGTCCCAGAGTTTTTGTTGTATGCTCAAGACAACCTGTAAATTTCAGTAGTGTTCATGATGAAGTATCAGTACCAAAGTTTTTGATTTACGCGAATGTCTGGAAGGAATTCAATCTTTGAGTTCTTTTTTTTTTTTTGAGAAACCAAACACATTTTTGTCCTGCATTTTATGATATCAATATTTGTATTTATTTTTGTAAGCCTGTTACAATAAAAAAAAAAAAAGAAACAATCTATAGATTGTTTTAAAAATAATGGAAACAAAGGGACATAACTCATTGCTGTGTTAAATATTTTTTGCTGTGTTTTATTAATTTGTAGAATCTATATTTTTGACTGTGCCATTATGTCTGTTCAGTGCTTTTATTTATGTTAGATTTTACTGTATATTTTACAGAAGTCTTTATGGGTGAATCTCTCAAAAACTGTCAAGAAATGTTCAGATCATATTTCACCCAGAAAATAAACTAGGAAAGGAAATGGATTCCTTTTACTTTAATGTGAAAAATATATATTATTAATATATAATACAGTTTAATTAAATCAGTTATTGCTTCCTGACAGGAGGATTGAGAAGTGTCTTGTATTATAGTCAATGAACAAAGTAACATTTTGAATTACGTTGTCACAATGTGAAAAAAAAAAAATCTTGGTCAAATCTCAATGGTACAAACTGGGTTTAATTTTTTCTTGATGCAAAAGCATATTTTTACTTTGGATTTTGGGTGTAATTTGACCCAGCCTGTTCGTCAGTACATTTCAGTGAGCTTATCCAGTGTCATTATTGGGATATCTTTCATGTTTTCAATGTTATCAACAGATGGTGTTTTGTTGTAATCGACACATTTGGCTGAATATTGGTATAAATGGTTGAATTAAACCACTATATTGTGTTCTTTCTGGTCTGAGAGCAACTTGTTGATTAAATGTCTGTTAAATGTCTACAGGCAAATCCGATTTATACCATGATTAGTTTTCTGTAGTATGCTTTACATCAAACCAACTTTAGATGACATTACGTAAGAGGCAAAATATTTGTATATTCCGTTTTCATTTTAGTTTTTGTTTTGTTTTTTCCAGTTTTTATTCAATTTTTTAAAACATGTCTTCAGTTTTTATACATTTTTATTTCAGTTTTAATTTTACTTATTTTACTACATCAAGTTAAATGAGATGAGAAATGAAAATGAGACACGTTGCATTTATTTTTTTGGTAATTTTAGTTTTATTAATAAAAAAGTGTTATAACATTGAAAAGAGGATCACACAGGCCCATACTGTGCTTAAGGTCTTACATAAGTGTTTTAATTTCCAAAACAGTCTATTTACCAAGACCATTTTCTAGGCCAGTTGGAAACTCCCAGGTGATTATATGGACTTCCTCAGCCAGAAAAGTAGATCAACACACACACTTTGCACTGATTTAGGGGGCTAAACACACAAACACACACTCTTACACAGGGAAACCAGTGTTGTGGACTGCCGGACCTTGTGTTGAACACACATCAGTGTGACCGTGTCCACACACACACACACCTCACTGTCCAAACAAATACACAGAGTTCCCTTCCACTGTTTGCTTACTTTTCCTCTAGATGTGTTGTAGCTTCAGTGAGGGTTGTAGTAAGAAATGCACATGTAAATTGTCACAGTATTTTAATTTTTTTTTACAAGGCAGGTCAATTTTTTTGTCATAGCAAATTTATTCAGGTGTAAAAATACACTAACTGTCAAAAGATAGGAATAAATCGTGTATTTTTTTTTATATTTTCGAAAGTCTCTGATGCTCATAAGGCTGCATTTATTTGAGCAAAAATTATGTAAAAACAGTAATATTGTGAAATATTATTACAGGTAAAAAAAATAACTGTTTACTATTTTAAAATATTTAAAAATGTAATTTATTCCTGAATTTTAAGCATAAATCGCTCATGTGACATTATTCCGTAAGAACACATTAAAATGGATCAAAAGTGACAGTAAAAACATTTATAATCTTACAAAAGATTTCTATTTCAAATAAATTATGTTCTTATTCAAATAAATGCATTCTTTAATGTCTTGGTGAGCATAAGAGACTTATTTCAAAGACGTAAAAAAATGTATATATATATATTCCAAACTTTTCACATAGTGTATGTACTGTATCATACATGTTGGTCATTCAACAACTTAGAAAACCATGTAAATCATAGCATTATTTTATCAATTATTAGATTAAGCACTTTTATAATGTGTGTGTGCCAGATGCTTCAGGGTAAGCTGTGTCAGTGGCTAAACGGGTAGCATGATTCAAATTCAGTAACTACTGTTACAAAGTGTTGAAAATTGCTTTACTGCATTCAAATAGTTTGAATATATAACCTTTATCTTGCAGCTTATGTGAAAAAAAATTGAATAATGTGCAGTGAACTGGATTGTGCATTATCCCTTTTTCTCATTTATGTTTACATTTTTAATTTAAAAATAAATATTGTTCACATATTCACCATTTTAACAACATTTTTGACTTGACACAACTTACCCCTATTTGGGGCAAGTTGTGTCACTGGATCAGTCATATTTCTAAGGCTCTGTGTTAGGCGCTTCCTTTTAAGAGTCAGTTGTATTTGTTTTCCAAATTCTCTTTGCCTATAGAGGACAACTTGAAAAGTGGCACAGCTTACCTCACTCTCCCCTGTATATCATTAAGGTATGTTTGTGCCCTACCTTATTTTACTAGCCATGTGAACAACTATGGTTATACAGTTTGTAAACGATTTAACATGTTTACTCAATATTATTCATCCAACTTCTATTTCAGTTACAATGTCACACTTAAATCAGGACTGTCGTGGTCAGCATTGCTTTGCAGCGCTTTCATAAATGTGACCCTGGACTACAAACCCAGTCTTAAGTCGCTGGGGTATATTTGTAGCAATAGCCAAAAATACAGTGTATGGGTCAAAATTATAAATTTTTCTTTTATGCCAAAAATCATTAGGATATTAAGTAAATATCATGTTCCATGAAGATATTTTGCAAATTTCCTACTCTAAGTATATCAAAACTTCACTTTTGATTAGTAATATGCATTGCTAAGGACTTCATTTGGACAACTTTAAAGGCGATTTTCTCTATATTTTGTTTTTTTTGCGACCTCAGATTCCAGATTTTCAAATAGTTGTATCTCGGCCAAATATTGTCCTATCCTAACAAACCATACATCAATGGAAAGCTTATTTATTCAATGTGTAAAAATCTCAATTTTGAAAAATTGACACTTAAAACTGGTTTTGTGATCCAGGGTCAAAAATAGCTTTAAACATTCAAATCTACATTATTGATCTTTTTAAAGTGTAGTTTACACGGCCTGATTGTGAAGGCTTCAAATAATAAACAAGCTGTTCTTCTGAGGAATGCCTTTGTCAGCTGTGAGGAGATCCATATTGCTCTGGAATGTGTGGAGCTGCCAAAGAGATTTTAAACTCAGTTGTCATATAATTTGTTTTTGTTTTTTGTGACAACTTTTTGCCTAAGTACTAAATTCAGTTTTAAATTAACACCTAAAGTTAGAAAAGTACTTCTTACAAGTACAACTACTTTGTAAAGACTTACAAGTGGTCTATAAAAAGCTTTTTTCCATTTAGGTGACAAATATTGTGAATTACCCCTTAAAAAAATAACAATACTTGTTCAGGGATATAAACTCACAAGGATTGAAAAAGGTAAGACAATTAGATTAGATTAGATTAGATTCAACTTTATTGTCACTGTGCAGAGTACAAGTACAGAGCCAATGAAATGCAGTTAGCATCTAACCAGAAGTGCAAATAACAGAGTATATAAATAAATATAGATTATGTGTATATACATTAAGCTTTATGACATATAGTGCAAGTTATGAGGTAGGAGGGCAGAGACCAGCTCAATGCAAATGACTGTACATACAACATAGGGTGCAAGGAATGTAAAAACAGTAGGTGTATTATACAGTGAGTATAAACAGAAGGTGCATTATACAGTGAGGTACGTAAATAGCATATGTTTATATATGGCCAATGACCATAATGCAAACGGCATCCGGAGGTAGAAATGTACAAGGGAATGTGCAAAATATCAGAGAAATGTGCAAAATAACAGAGGGAATAATAAGAACATTGTGAGTGAGGAGTGCAGACAGGTTAATGTTCTGAACACATTTTTAATTTTTTTTTTTTAAGTTAAGTTTTTGGTCCATCTAGGAAGTAGTGCTCAGCGCCTGAGATTGGAGTTCAGTAGGCTGACCGCTGAGGGAAAGAAACTGTTCCTGAGTCTGCTGGTGCGACAGCGAAGACTCCTATAACGTCTCCCCGATGGGAGAGGAGTGAACAGTCTGTGATTAGGGTGAGAGGAGTCTTTGATGATGCTTCTCACTCTCCTTAGGCAGCGTTTGTGGTAAACGTCTTTGATGGAGGGTAGCCCAACACCAGTGGTGTATTGGGCAGTTTTCACCACCCGCTGGAGGGCTTTCTGGTCCGAAACAGTGCAGTTGCCATACCACACTGTGATGCAGTTTGTGAGAATGCTTTCAATAGTGCAACGGTAAAATTATAGCAGCAAACTAAATAAAAATTACGGCATTCAAAACTGGGATGTTATTACAACGAACATTAAATAAAGCAAATATGTTGAACAGTGTGATGGTTTCTTGTAAAGTCTTAAGTTGCACTGTAGCCTACGCAGGGCTGTACAGTGCGACATATATGTCGCACGTGCTACGAAAAAACTGGTCTGTGCGATTAATAAATGTACCACTGTAGCACGCATGCGATACAGTTTTGCATGTTCATAACACAGCCGCTTAATAGTGTGAAGTGATTTCGTTGTGCTTGTTTGTGTGTGTGAGATTGATTATACTTGGTAGTCAGGGGTGTGCGATATGACGATTTTTGATCGTGGACTATTAAAATGTCTCCATGATCTGCTTTTGAAGAAATATCGTTGTAAGTCGTAGCTCGTCGATCTTGTTTGCCAGAGATCGTACGTTAGCGAGGAAGATGCTTGGTATCGCTGGACGACGCGGGTTGAGCTTTAGCTTAGCCCGCAGGCCGCTCCGCTTACCCCGTCTTTGTTTACGTTCGCAGCGCCGACGACGGGCACTTCCTGTCGGACTGGCTGATTCACTCGAGCCCGGGGACCGGAGTAATTCGGGAGGTAGTAGATGAAGATCTAGTGTTGTATCCACATCGGTGTTTGTGTAGCG